GCAGTAAATGTCGCTCTTCATTCTATTCTCACCACCTCTAATCCCAAAGCAAGGATGTAGCAGAACACACCCTTGGAGTCAGTTCAGCAGACACAACGGGTTTGAATTTCCTGTGTATGTGGCTTCGTCATGTTTTACACATCGTGCTATCATGGGCGTATGGTTTCTCATTTTGACCTGCTAGCATCAAAATTCTGAACTTTAACAAGCCACGTGATAAGAATGTGATGGAAATATTCGTTTTGTATATTGCCTTAAGCGATGAGCAATGATGGCTGAATACGACTACCAGAGAAAAGCCGCTTCCAAAGTGAGACAGCTCTCCGGTTTTTGACAACTCGGCGAAGTCAGACTGGGGCGGTGCAGGCTTTCTTCTTCACGGTTTTTAGTCAAAATGGAATAATAATAAGTCACTCATGAAGCAATCTCTATCTTGAACGGGCGCTCAATTGATAAAAGATGAATTTGGTGGTAAGCGATCGCACACGATGTCGTGCAACAGATCTGCTGCAGGGCTTAGCAGCAAGGGCGGCTCTCAAGAAAACTAGCGTGAGACACGGGACACCGTACAAGGTGCATCCATTCTACGGGAAGTGTCTGACTTTCCTCAAGTCTAACTTTTTCATCAGTCGCGAATTTCATCGCCGGGTCTCGTATTCTCCCGTGGGCGTAGTATCGGCTCTAAGTCTTCTGCATCTAGATATACAATTCACCTGGAGAACCGAAGGCCACCTAACTAGGATGTAGAAACATGATACTCCTGAGTTTCCTGCATGGCGAGGAGGTATCATGCTACCGCAGATTCACTAGAGACATCTTGCTCACCAGGGTTACGAGGCATAATAGCTGCAGCTCTTTAGCCGAGAACGCCTGTCACAATGTCTTGCCGATAATGCCATAGTCAACCCAATATGGCTGGTTCGTGTTGCACTAGGCAGGCTCCTTGTCTGCTGTGTAACCTTAGTAGCAGTATAGTACCACCCGACACCGCTTCAGCGTCGAATACTATCCAGCTTCAGAATTAGATCAGGCGTCCAATACATACCTCGGTATTGTATGTGGTCAAGTCGTGAAGGATGCCTCTCGTTTACTTTTACAGAGTCCAATTCAGACAGATCACATCGTCTATTGAAGCAACTTGGCCTTGGCCTCGTATCGTCAATGCCTCTTTGGGCTATACGAGGTTGCAGCCGCTCCAAAATGCGACTGCTAGCTCTTTATTACCATTTCATGAGTGATAAAATGGCTCACCAAGTGGTCTACAGCTTGAACGAAGTTGCAGAACCAGAGATATAAATACAAGCATCTTCCAGACGTAGCCTCTGCTTCGAAATCAGATCCAAAGAGCATCTCCTTGTCTCATTCGGTCATCTTCTTGCCTCAACACTATCTTGCAATCAGAATAACATACCCATTCTCAAAATGAAGTTTCTCAGTCCCATCACTGCACTCACTCTCCTTGCCTCCGTGGCATCCACCTCCCCCACACCCGCGAACCTCATCCCCCGCGCCTGCACCACCGTCGCCCCAACAGCCATCGACGTCCTCGACAGCGCAAACCCCAACACCCCAAGCACCGGACAGCAGTTCTCCCTCGCCAGAACAGCCACCACAAACACCAAGATCTCCGCCCTCACCTTCACCGGAATCCCCAACGACGCCACAGGTTGTATGCTCGCCATCGACATCCCGGCCCTGGCGCAGCCTATTGCTACAGGCTCCAGCCAAGCTGACATCTGGACTACCAACCCCTGGGACTTGACCTCCCCTCCTACCTGGAACAACCAGCCTACTAGGCGGGAGATGGTGTCGACGTTCCAGTTCCCAACTTCGCCAACGACATCCCCGTTCCATACGATCCTTGCGTCGAATACGTGCTCGAATGTAATGAGCTTCCTGGCGTTGCAGTCAACGTGGCAGACTACGCCCGGAACTGTGAACTTCCAGAACTCTATTGGAGGAGTTCAGCCGATTGGGTTTAGCTTGGTGTATAATTGTTAGTGGACATTCTAGGGACGGTGGTGTTGTAGACCGATAATAAGATTGCCAACGCGGGGTGAGGAGGAAACCAACCAGTCGAGAAAATACATCTGGGACGGGCTCTATTCAACATAGCGTCAACAAATAAAGTAATTCTACCTGCAAATGTACCTAATTTTAGCCTTGTTGTTTCACCACTACCGTGGATTTGCCCTAGAATGTGACATGTGCCAGATGCGCCCACCGAATAAACTTCTCTTCCTCGTTCATCCCATCCATCCACATCCTATGGTTATCGTTCGCCAAGGCCAGCTTTCCCCCTCGCGTCCATGAACACGATGCGGTTACATCCGATTGAGCTAAATTATCATATGTACTGGATTTAGCTTCCTCATTCAGATCTAGATCAGGTGAGAGCGGAGAATCAATACACCTTATTTCTTCCCACTTGGCCATCCCCTCACCCCAGCTTACTGGCGTAGCTTAACAAGTAAAAGAATCTTCATGAAAAATGTAAAGTATCTATGGTTTGCGGTACAGAAATAGGTCTACTCATTCTTTTCCTCGGAACCCGACTCCGCCCATTTCGTGGTAAATGTATGATGGAGATGTTGAGGATGGTTATGGTATGACATACGGGGATACACGTTAAGCTCAGGGGATTATACTCTATGCCCTGCTCGACGACGGATTGTTTGCTTAACATGACAGGAATAACATGTATGAAATATATTTCAATAACTTAGCACTGCTGCCTAGTACTAGTAAAGTATACCAAGAAGGATCGTGGCCAGCCCCGGCCCCAAGCATCCACGTAGCTGCTAAGCCTTATCCTCCACATGCTCAGCCCTTGCATCCTCCTTCTCATCTCCTCCCCTATCCGCGAAAACATGCGTCCTCCACCTCCGTGCTGGAACCTTCTCCGTAAAAAACATGGCGACCTCCATCCTCGTCCGCCCCTGCGTTTCACCCACACAATACCACACCCAAATCAGCGACGTCAGCGTCGTACCCGCATACACGAACCCGACCATCGGACCAAGCCCAGCGTCGTAGTACAGATATGGCGCCGTGAAGGAAATCACCCAGAGGAAGAAATACAGCGCCACGATGGACACTGACATGATTTTATTCTGGTTTACGCCGACCGAGAGCTCGCGGGATACGGCGTAAGTAAGTGGGCCGAGGCCAAAGTTGTATGCGCAGATGACGACGTAGGAGAAGACGACGATGATGTACTTGGATGCAGTGGTGAGGGTGGATTGGGTGCCGATGCCGCCGATGATGATGAAGGCGACGAGGATGAGGGTGGTGCTGGCGAGGAGGTTGGTGCGTCGTCGGAGACGGTTTCCTGTTAGGATAGATGCGGCGACGGCGAATATTTGCAGGATCATGGTTATAAGGGTGATGGTAAAGGGTTGGGAGACGCCAAGGGCTTCGGCGAACACGACCCCGTAGTTGTAGAAGAAGATTATGCCGCAGATTTGTTGCGCGTACATGCCGCCCGAGGCCCAGATTAGCTTTTTGCGTTCAATGGGGTCGAGGAGGAGGGCGAGCCAGGAGGATTCTTCGCCTTCGGTTTCTTCGTAGCGTTTGGCTTGCTTGAGGAAGGCTAGGTCCGCTGTGGGGTCGTAAGTGCGGTCGTTTGGATTGATTTTGAGGAGAGCACGTTTGGCGTCTTCTTCTCTATTGTGGAAGACGTACCACGTTGGGGTTTCCGGGATGAAGGGTAAGAAGAAGAGCATGAAGAGGGGCAGTATGACGAGTCCACCCATGGGTAGTTTGTAGGATAAAGACGAGTGGATGGAATTGGTGCCTTGGGTGAGGCCGGAGGCGACTAGCTGCGAGCAGGATTGCAGGAACTGGTACATGTACAATGCTGGACTTCGGATCTCCATTGGTGCGACTTCTCCGATACTATGGAAGGGTCAGTGAGTCGTTTGAATATGTACAAATGAGATGACAGCACTCACTAGAGTAGCGACGTAACAGTAAAGTTGCCCACTCCAAGCCCAATTAGAATGCGGCCAAGCACTATAACACCCTCAATGTGGGTGTCAGCAACCTGGGTCACTCCTCCAGCAAGCACAAACGCCGAAGCAATCCAGAGGACCGTTTTGCGACCAAAGCGATCATTGAGGGGCCCTGCTATGAGTGCACCCAGCATATCCCCGATGTAGATGCTGGAGGTAGTCAGCGACGTAAAGCTCGTCGCTAATGCTTTCGCACCATCCTCATAGTGATCGCCGTAGTCATTCTTGAATTCTTGCATGCCTAGAATCCCGCTATAGTATGTGTTGTCATAACCAAACACCAGGGCGCCGATGGCGGAGATGGAGCAGTAGATCAAGGCCCACCGGTGACGGCGAAATTCGATGTCGAAGCCAAACATGATGGAGCATTAGCATTATCTCTTGAGACAAGTGAGAACCTGGAAGGACTGATAGTGAGGCGATATGTGAATTTAAATATGCTGAGCCGAGGTTGTGCCCATAGCTCAGTATTCCCCGGGTATGAAGTTAGACGAAGGCGCACAAGAGAAGACAGCCAACGGAATACCGCCCCCACGCCGATCTGAACGGCATAGAGTGAACGATTGGCTCGCTTGGCTCCGATCTCTCCTCCCCCAGATGATGCCCCCACGGATGTGCCTTGATTTGCGGGGGAAATGCGGGGGAAGACAGACTAGGGCTGCGCTTGTCTGTGCTCACTTGGACAGAGTGGCCTGACGCTCAGTATGCCAGGCGGAGTTTATTCCTAAACTAGGTTGATGACGTGCCGCGCTTTTACAAGAGACAAGGCAGTCTTATCGCACCCTGGAGAGCGGCTATGCATGGCGACGTGAATGGATAGTGCATTTCCCGCCGCTTGGTGTCCATTGAGTGCCTCACCCAATCGCAGTTGGAGAGCTGCAAGGAGCGATGAAGAGTCACCCGTCTGTGACCTTCCACCCGCGTCCAGCGGAAGATTTCTGTTCCGGAGAAACAAGAAGTACGAGTTTTTTTTTTCGCTCGCGCAGTTCAAACATGCGGGATGAAACTCGTCCACTCAACGGTCACATAGGAACTCGATGGAAGCTGTCGCAGGCTGATAAAAGCCTCGATGATAATAAACAAGCGGGCCGGGACCAGACAGGCACTGATAAAGGACATGACAACGTCCAGCACCCAAGCACGCCATCCTTTCTCTTCTTTGCCGCTAGGCTGGACCCATATCCATGTCAGGGACTGGTGACCGTCGAAGCCTAACGCGGTCAGAGTTATCCGCAGCATGCTCGACAACGGAAGACCAGAAGCCAGGAAGACGCTCATGATGCGCCACATCAGCTGTTCAGTGCTTGTCGGGAACACATGGTTCCAGCCCAGCAAGTGGACAGCGGGATGTACCATGGCCTGGATCGATACCAGTAGCCAGGTGCGTTGACTCAGGCCATTGAACACGATTTTGTCATCTGGCATACGCTGTAGGGGGCTTTTCTGCGGGCGGAGATTCTCGAGGGTCGGCCGGCGATGCCACCGCTGGTGCGGCTTTTCCAGGAAATCAAGTGGTGTCTCGCGGAAGGGCTCAACGCCGATCTCCCCGGCACTGTTGATCAAGCTGGTGACTGATCCGCTCTTGAGTTCGATAACAGTCGGCACCCCAACACTCTGTGGCTTATGCATCCAGAAGTAGTAGGTCGTAATCGTGGATAACACGAATGCAATGGTGAAGAGCTCAAGCGGGGAGACAGCGAGGCCTTGTACGGCCCGGGCGATGGATTGGACCACGAGCCATACCCCTTGCACTAATGCAACGCATTTAGCGAACGTATCTGCCTTGCTTTTATCCCAGATCTCCTCCGCTGTGATTGTAGGGCAGTCGATGTGGTGTGTCTCAACGAGGTAGTGGATCGAGGCTGCCGTGATTGGGAAGGGAGGGTAGTCTGTCGATTGAAGGACGAAGCCTCCGCTATTGGCGTAGAAAGCGTGTTTGAGGGTCCATTCTTTGTAGCCCAGGCGGTGCATGTCGCGCACCGATTCCTGGGCTGACTCGTACTGCATGGCGGAGAAGCCTACCAGCATGTCGGGGGCCAAGATAGCAAATGTTCCCCAGCGAAGCTTGCGCCACAGAACCGTCCAAAGGCCATCGTCAGGGGCCGGAATGTTCAGATGCAGAACTGTCCAGAGAGCGGTGGAGAGCACCAAACAACAGCCCCAGATAATATCGATGGTACCCCGATCGTTAGGCGAGTCCACCCAGCCACTCACTTCGCCCTCGGGTAACGGTGCCATGATTAGTGCACCAGTATGTCTGGGATTCCACGTGCTATATGAGTAAAGAAATCGACGCCAAATCAGTTTGCTCGAGATGAAAGAACGCAACGAACACCTCCCGCTAAAAGGTGTTTGCGCGGATCTTCGTGGTTAATGAACCCCTCCGCATGCTGGGCCATGACGGATCTTTTGTCGGCCAATGATGCATTAGTGCAGACGCAGGGGATACATATTCTGACCAGCGAGTCACAAATGAGAATGAAACACTAGAGATAGCCTGCAAAGCTGGATGGAGTCTCTCGCCAAGGACCCGGAGCGTACAAGTGCGATAACAGGATATTACGATTGGCATGCTGCATGAGCTGTCAGGCCTAGACGCAGGGTCTTGATTCAGCAAAGACCATCCACAGAACGTGAATTATCTCCGCGTGGGGGCCAAAAGTGCAATCAGGATTGGGAAACCATCATGTCCGTAATGGCCTGATGCACTTCTGATTCGAGCAAGAAAGTCGCGACCGGCGCACATTCTGAGACATAGATAACATCCTCCGTCCAAGGGATGTCTATAGTAAGCCCTCAGCAGGAATTGTGATGCTTGGGGGCCGAGGAGCAATAGGCTTCGTCAACTGCAGTGGAACAAGGAGGGCAGCGTGGCTCTGGATCAATTAACGTGAACTTTAGCGGCTTGAGGGCCCGTCGGCGATAGGCCGCGAGGGGCCGCTGTGGGGGAAGTCGAGGGCACCGGTGCTGACAGGCGCTGACGGCTGAAGGACGAGAGCAAGCGAGCGTGACGCGAAGGAATTTCTGGTGGAGATGGGCGGGTCTTAAGCTAACGGGAAGGAGTTGCCAATCCGCAGGTTTATCCCTGAACAGCAGCGATTGGCGTCGCTTATCCCTTCAAGGGAACCCATTGCTGTCCTCGGTGTTTCTCCAGGGCCCAATCAATGTGGCCAAAGCAACCTGATCAATTTTTGCATAATATCGGCAATTTGGGGGCCAAAAGTTACCCCTGCACCAGCGGGGATGCGACTCGAAGAGGAGAATACTCAGCGACGCCTTCATGTGCATCCCAGGCCTCGTGGCCGACCACGCGGACTCCTAGTCGACAATGCATGCTGACAGTGGGTCAAGCTTGTACATAGAGCACATTTTTCCTCAACACACACTCCCACATGCATTATCTTCTCAGTGTCTCACCACTTGTGCCAAGCCCAAAATCTCTCAAGAGCATGAAGTCACCCAATATCGAGACTCAAGTAAGCCTATGGTGTAACGAGGATAAGCCAAGTATTAGTCAAAGATTGGCCGGTCGCACATATCCTCGGGAACCACAAAGTTCAGGGGCATCGCATGTTTTCGCAATTCTGAGACACGAGCCTTGGGTCGATGATCTACCTTCCATCGATTCGCTGGGGGCATGCTGATCGGAGCAATCGTAAAGATACGGCTGCCCTTGGGTGCCAGATGTGACACGGGCACCAAGGGTTGCTAGCCGCACCTACAGTGCTTATTTTTATCTGAAGTCTGGTACAGCTTGGGGAGAGGGTAAACGCCCCTTGTACCCGTGCAAGAATAATCGGGCCATAAAGATGATCTATCAGACGTCTTAGTGCCGCTGTAGACACTCTCGAGCAAGCAAGCCATCTTGCTCAGAGACGACATGATTATTGTCAGATGTCTGATGCATAGAGTCTTCACACCTGCCCCACCAGGGTATGTATGACCTTACCCTGCACAGTACTCAGTAATGTAGTCTAGCGTGCAAAGCCAATCGATGGCACTGGCGATGATCATCGAGGTGCATGAAGCACCATTAAAGATCACATTGGAGTTTCAAGCCCAAATTCGGACAATCAAATGGCTCGAGGTAAGACATTCGCCCGAGCTGACCCGGTGGGCTATGCTCCGACAGCCTATCTTTATTTCATGGTTATGCTTCTGCTCCGCCAAAGTGGACAGAATGACATGGCGGGATACCAGCAAACACCGTCCGTACCCAGGCGAACAAAGCCTCTGGTATCAATCACTAAAGACATACAGTTCGGCCGATAACATGCCGAGATTAAATATGCACGTGAAAGACCGTAGCAGTTCTAGTTCTGAAGGATTTCTAGTGGGTTTTGCTGAGCGCACAGTATCGATATAATCTTACCGACTAAACGGGAAGGCGGATATGAAAAGACCCCACTAGAGAGTGTCTAGACCATCAGTCAGTAATGATGAATTCCATGCAATGCTGATGACATGAGATTTGCCTTGTGCCTCTGTAGGTCGGGTCGAGTTCCCTCAGTCCTCTGTGACCCGGAAAGGTGGTGTAGTCGGAGAAACACGGTCGCAGCAGACCGTGCCATGAAACGGAGCTAGTCGGGGGCATAGATTCATGAGGCATACTGCTATACTATTTCTCACGTCAGACGAGATGCCAGTGGGCATCTAAAGATGCGAGCGACCACACCTGGGTTACAGTGTTAATGTCAATCAGCTCGACTTACAATCATCGGTATCGTCGGGGTCAAACTCTTCCGCATTCGGTGTTAGAGCGAAGCACTGTTTCAATCGCCGACTAATTTGCTTCAATGCTTCAGGGTCCAACACCATCTCCTCATGTCCGTGGGAATTAGGAATGGAATCATACGTAGAGCAGCAAATGGACGAGAACCATCTGACTTCCTTCGGAGGAGACCCGCTCCGTCGCCAACCGGGAACCATTCTTAATTACCCCACAATTTGACTTTCCATCCGTGACGCCTCTCGAATTTGTCAGTCCTTTCATCCTTCACGAATTAAGGTATATTCCTTCACATATAATGGCCCACACGCCTAATCCCCCTGTCCAAGGCCGTCTCATCAGCCATCTTGCTGAAAGGTACGCTCACAATTACTTGCATTGAAGATCCGACACGGACCTATCTAACTGACTCCAGGTCAGCGGAAGACCAAGGCTCAGGCTGGTCCGCACTCTGGGACTCCAATGAAAGCGATCTCTGGGATAGAGGGAGTCCCTCAATCGCATTAGTCGATGTAATAGAGCAGCAGAAAGATATCTTCTCTCCCTTTACCCCCGATAGACGGAGAAAGAGAGCCCTTGTTCCGGTGACACCCCCCTTTCCATGAGCCAATAAACCCACCGGATATTCGCGGAACTACTGCGAAACATCTACTTCGAAGTCACTAACTATATGTGATATTCCTACAGGGCTGCGGAAGAGGTTACGACCCCGTCATGCTAGCACTGCATGGATTCGACGTCTACGGCCTCGATATATCCGCAACTGGCGTTTCAGAGGCGAGGAAGTATGCCTCTTCGGAGATGCAGAGTCCACAGGGGTATAATTTCTCCTCTGGAACTGCGAAAGCTGCCAATATAGGGAATGTAAAATTTATTGCCGGCGACTTCTTCAGCTCAGAATGGGAGAGTGAAGCTCTGCGTGATGGGGAGAAATTTGACTTAATCTATGATTATACTGTATGTTATCACCCTTACTCCATGCTACAATGTAATACTGGAAGAAGAGCAATGTGGCTTACGCATTTAACAGTTTCTATGCGCTCTCCACCCCTCCGTCCGTCAGAAATGGGCCGAGCGTATGAGCCACCTCCTCCATCCGGGGGGCCTTCTTGTCTGTCTTGAGTTTCCCATGTACAAGGACCCTTCCTTGCCAGGACCACCATGGGGACTGAAGGGTGTCCACTGGGATCTGCTCGCACGCGGCGGCGACGGGATCCGTAATATTGCTGAAGAGGAAGAAGACGACGCAAAAGCTGCCAAGTTGACGGGACAGTTTCGGCGAGCGCACTACTTTAGGCCTGCACGGTCGTATCCCAGCGGAAAAGGGACAGATATGTTAAGTATTTATGTGAGAAAGTAATGGGTAATATGCGCAAATCTCCACAATAATCGGCCCCAGTACTCAGACAATGGCACTGAACCTGCTCTGGATTTTAGCGTCGTGCCCAACGAGCGCTTCATTTTGGGATTATCCTGCCTGCTCAGCTGCAGGGAAGGTTGCACATCGCCCTGCAATTGTCTTCAATTGTGCCAACGAACATACGTCTCTAATCACCTACCCCGTGGATAATCTGACTGCTGTTCCGGACCTGGCTGCCGTATTGGAGGGTGATTTGACCGACTGGGTCTCCCGCACGGCTAACTCGACGCTTCCCCGCAACCAGCAGAACATTCCAGTGTACCGCTACCAGCATGCCGGACAGTACCCAAATCTGAACCCATTTCGATGGCTTGGCGCTTACCATGCGAGTGATTTGCCAATGAACGTTGGCTCCTATCCTATCCATGAGTACCTGGGGAATAGCACCAGAAGTCAGTCGAACTATGCAAGATCACATCTCCACTTTTCTGAAAAATCCGCTGAACGGACCGCAGTTGCTCGGATGGGAGCCTGTTAATTCCTCAATTACCTCTGGTGGCAAAGGTGCTTCGCTTCGGGGCTGATGGCAAGGCGGTTCAGCAGGTGGATCGTGTTGAGATTGACGGACCGTGCCGCGGCATTAGGAAATACGACCAGTTCCCATAAGTGTCAGTATGATGAGCGAGAGCAAATACATGTATGACATGGTGTGATGATACGAGAAACTTGGAGACTGGTTCGCACTCCGTAATGTTGTCTTTGATCAAGGAAAAAAAGAAAAGTAAAAAGATATAGTTCGATGAAGTATTCACTTCAACCAGGCACTACCTGATTATACGCCATCTCTGCTGTCTACGTGGTTCTTACGTCTGATCAACCATACTCTTGAGATCTACATAGATCACATACGCATATCCAGGCCCCGTTCGTGCCCGTCGTTTTGAGTTATTCCTCTGGTTATTCCCACTACTAAACAGCCAATCCAGCAATAGCATCAGCGTAGAACCGATTCTCGGTCGCCCTTCCAGTCTCCGTACAGACTGGCTGTTGCTGTAGGGTGAGGTGGCTGAAGGGACTTTGAATGACAAACTTGTGGTCAGCCGAAAGGTCAATTCCAGCTACACTTTGATGACATCCATCTTTACATTTGAAGCTTCTTGTCTCCTCCTAATAGCGGAGTCGTAGTCAACCACACTACTGGGTTTTATGTAAAACTCTGCATGCTTTCTGGCCAATGGGAATTCATCACTTACTCCATCAATTGCATGGAATGTAACATCCCAATCCAGCTGTCTACCCGGCTGAAAGGGCAAGTGTCACGGGGCGGCCACCCATGCACAATTGACTTATTCAGTCACCGGCAACCTTCTAGGGCCACACCGCTATTAGCAAGAGATCTACATACGTCAACCTCGACACATTAACTATCTGCGCTGATTGGCATGAATCGTCGAAAAGGGTATTGCAACCGCGGCTAGACGACATGTCAAATTGCTCAGCTACACAGTCCACTAAAGCACGACTCCTCCACAGGCGGGCTTCAAAATGCCCGCCCAGCCACACAATGGCATTACATACTACACGTTCGGATGCATCCGTCTTGCCGCTCACAGCAAATATGAACAGCTAACTACTACAGTAGATATAGTATATAGTCTATAGTAATGACTTGTCTAATCAGTCTCGGACATCATATGTTCATAAAGATCGGCAGACACAGCACAGAGAGACTATGCGACTATATGCCCTGTGAGGGAACTATTATGCCAGCCTTTGGATACACAGCTAGCTAGATACACCACAGTCCCTCATGTTGCTTTTGTGGAGCTGAAAACTCGTCAGTCTATCGACCCGAGTCTGGTTAACTCCGTGTTACTTGATCTCGCTTACCTACGATCATTGCGATCTAGTGGATCTCAGAAGAGTTTCGTTTCCTAATCACTTTACGATACAGCTCAGAGCCTCTTGAGCACATTAACCCGGCCACACTTTATAAAGCCACATAACTGCCACCGTGTTCCGAGCATGTTGACAGCCACCTAGACACAATCCACGCTTCTTTGTTCTCGTCGCCTCCCGTGAAAGTGACCACTCTTCCAAATTTGTCAATATGTATTTCAATGCACCACAAGACCAGTCCGATGAAGGATGGGCCAAAGTCATGTTAATAGCGAGGTCTCTATTGAATCAACTCCTCGCCACCGACCTTCCACTTCCATCAGACCCCATTCTTCCAATCCTCGATACCAGTGAGCTACCAAGCCTGCAGGATAAGATTATGCCGGATGATCATCCTCGGGATCCGGTCTCTATTCTTCAACAAGCCATGACGCTCTTTGAATACCATATACACCACACCCACCCGCATTCCTTTGCATATATACCAGCCTGCCCCACCCCCATTGCTCGTCTGGGAGCTCTCCTCACTTCGATTTGTAATGTAAATGTTGCCAACTGGGATTCGAGTTCTGGTCCGAGTGAGGTTGAAAAGGCCATGATTCAATGGCTAGGCTCCCAACTAGGACTGCCTGATACAGTCGGAGGGTGCTTTGTCTCGGGTGCGTCTATGGCAAACATGACAGCCATAGTTGCAGCCCGCGATGAGAAACTCCAACCCTTGCAGCGAGCAAACGCCACCATCTACATGTCCGACCAGACACACCTCTCTGTGATGAAAGCCCTACATATTGCCGGCTTCATGGACTACCAGGTCCACAAAATACCAACCGATGATAACTGCCGCATGGATATGGATATCCTACGGCATGCCATCAAAACAGATCGCTTATTCGGACGTGTTCCGTTTCTCCTCGTCGCCAATTGCGGCAGCACCAACACCGGCAGCATCGATCCTCTCCATGAACTCGCCGATATCGCGCGTGATGAAGGCCTATGGCTTCATGTAGACGGTGCATATGGTGCATCCATCGCACTATCCGACAAGCATCGCCACCTGGTTGATGGCATCGGTCGTGCGGATAGCGTCTCCTGGGATGGTCACAAGTGGCTCTTCCAGACATATAGTTGCGGGATTGTGCTCACGCGGCACGTTAGCTCTCTCGCTCGCAGCTTCTCCTTCGATGCCGAATATATCACCAATCCATTGGAACTGCAGGCCACGACTAGCTTTTACAAACTCAGTCCAGAGCTAAGTCGCCCCGCACGCGCAATGTCTCTGTGGCTCACTCTCAAGGTTCTAGGTCGTCGTCGTGTGGGTGAGATGATCGATCAGGGTTTTCTTCTTGCCCGTACAGCGGATGGCTGTATCCGGCAGTGCAATAACTGGATTATTCCGGTGCAAACAGTTGCCAGCATTGTGGTTTTCCGATATGCACCTCCTGGGTTCAGTGAAAAGGAGCTAGACTCATTGAACAATGCTATTTCACAACGGCTCGTGACGGAAAATATAGCTGCTATATTAACCACTCAGATTCGCGGACGGACTACACTTCGAATGTGTGCTACGAATCCTGCTGTACAGCCGGAGACGATCAGTGAGGTAATATGCCGGGTGGACAAAGTTGCCCAAGCTGAGGCGTCTAAGGTCAAGAAAACATATCCAAAGATGTCTAATGGACTGTGTTCTCCTTTGCCGAGCTGCTGTGTTGTTGAAGCTACTGACCATGCTTGAGCTACAGCCCATCCGACATTTCATGGTATATGTTACGCGCGTTTTGGCCGATGCCTTCTGTGGTTTGATTCCCATGTATCTTATAGCAGGTTTTTTTTTTTCTTTTTCTTTTTTTAAAGACACAATTTAGTGTTAAAGATGGTCTCATGATACCATCAATTCTACAATTTCCGACCAATTCAGTTAGTAAGAAGTAGTCCAAAGCTGTAAGAATATATCCACATATTTATAATGAACCGGAATATCCCACAGATGCCACTGCCGCACAGTCTTTATCTTCCTTCCGCAGCAGTGAAATACCTTGACCGAATGATATGGTGTAGCTTCCTGTATATGTGCTTTAACATTAGGTAACCAGTGTGTCTAATCACCACGTAGACATTAACAATTATTAGATGAGGATGATTCCTTTTCCTACAGATTATCTCAAACATCCCATACTAGCCAATAAGGGAGCAACTATTGAAGTAACTCCGAACCCGACTATTAGTTTTCGCGGAAACATCAACCCCCGCCAATGATAGTAGTTGTTGTATTTTTGAAAATTAGATGCGATCCCGTGGTCAATCCGGGGAATTGTGCTTACCTCCCGGTGAGGAAGAAGTTAGAGACCTCGGTTCAATTAGAAAAAGGTATTGCAGCCTAACGTGTTCTGAAGATAATTTTACGCGACCTGAAATTGACGTTTTTATACTAGAAGTTGATTATTCCCTTCAAGCCGATTGTAAGATCGGATATGATGTAAAGATCCCTTCGAGAGAATATTCCCACACCACGCTGAGCAGTAAGCCCATCGGGATCTGGTCGGGCGGACCCATCAGGGATCCAGGGCTCAGGGCACATTTCTTAGTGCCTCTACGGGTCAAGGGAAGCTTGTCCCAAAGCTTGGTTCGGTGGTGTGGGACGGGTAGGGCTTCTGGTTGGTTGGTAATGCTGTGCCTAATCTTAGCACTATTGACATTGAACACAAACGTGGCACATACTCAGGGTGCACAATGAACCAGATGAGGCCACGAATAGAACCTCCAAAGCACTTTTTGAAGGATAAATAGTGCGAAGAGGGTGTTTGAACACTTATGCACTTGGTTGAACTCACACCGTATCGCGATCAAAAGCAAAATCGCCACACTACAACCCACCCGAACCCAGTCTTATCACAAATGATCGGATCCCCTCGGAATTGAATGGTCCCCGAGCTGACTCGCCCTGGAGCTTAGCGTCATTATCGACAAGATCTCGCATCTTGATTTGAGATCGAGATCCCTATGGCGCATCATAGCTCCATTACTAGTGTGCGCTTGACATCATATGCATGGATTGCGCCACTAGTTTAGGATTAGGGGTGTCTCAGAACAGAAGTCTGATGGCTGAGGGCTGAGAGGACAGGGAATGTGTGGCGAATAAATGGCGCATGCTCGTAGCGTTGAATAGAGGGGTCAATTTGCTTCTGCTGTTGGGGCTGAGGTGTTAAAGCTGGACGTTTCCTACCTTTCCGTTTCTCTTTCTTTTTGTCTCCATTTCTGTGATCGTTACGCTCAATTGATACCTAAAAAAGTCCTTCTGATCATATCATCCTATCAACACACTTTCCTTGCTCAATAGACACCATGGACTCCTACGGTCAAGACAACTTTGGTGGTGGCCGTCGCGGTGGTGGTGACAGCTTCGGAGGCAATGACTCCGGGTTTGGAGGCAACAACTCTGGCTTCGGCGGTAATGACTCCCAGTTCGGCGGAGGTAACTCTGGATTCGGAGGAAATGACTCCGGCTTTGGCGGTGGTGGCCGCGGAGGTGACTCCGGCTTTGGAGGCGACGACTCTGGCTTTGGTGGTGGAAACAGTCGCGACAACAACAACTTTGGAGGTAACGACTCTCAATTTGGTGGAGGTGGCTCTGGGTTCGGAGGAAATGACTCGGGCTTTGGCGGGGGTCGCGGTGGAGGTGACTCTGGCTTCGGAGGCAACGACTCCAGACACGGTGGGAACGATTCTGGATTTGGGGGTAACGACTCTGGATTCGGGGGTAACAGCTCTGGCAACTCTGGCTTCGGCGGCAATGACTCTGGATTTGGCGGAGGAAGAGACAACCAGAACAACTTCGGAGGGTCTGGTGGTGGAAATGACTCCTTCGGTGGCTCCTCCGGCGGCTCCTCTGGTGGGCTTGGGGGCTTGGTGAACAAGGCAGAAGGTTTGTTTCCCTATTAATCGCGACATAATCGACTGGGATTGACGACGTTGGCTGACAATAACCTATCTTGTAGGCTTCCTCGGCAGCCACGGTGGAAACAACAACCAGGGCGGCTCTAACAACGGAGGACAAGGTGGTAACTCTGGAGGCAACTTTGTTGACTCGATGGTTGACCAGAAGGTTGACCAGTATGTCCCTGGTGGAATGGATAGTGCTGTTAATCAGGGAATTAACCAGGAGGTTAACAAATTTTTCTAAGAACCCCCCTCACGAGTTATGGAATGCCATTGTTCCTGAGCATGATAACGCTCTCTGTCACTAGCTACTATGATGTTTTAATGAATATGTTGTATCAGTGTCATGGACGATTCTAAGAAGGTGAAGGGCGGTGCATGTTCCGTAGTTATGTACAATCAATTTTGTTAAGGGAAGGCTCTTAGGAGCTTCGCTATCCCCAGAATATACTATACAAGACTGATACCAACCTCACAGGTTGTAGGTGTGAGAGTTGATGTTGATGGTCGACACAGTCCAAGTCTTGCCGTTATCCGAGGTCGACAGTCCGGAGGAGCTGGCCTCGTTGATGGACAGGGTGTCGCCGAAGGAGTTGTCCTCAGCGTTAAGGATGATGGTGGTGTCAAGGTACTCTATTTCGCTCTGTTAATTTTGTTCTTCTTTTCCGGAAGATGGGTTGGGAACTTACTGTGAGCTCCCGCGGTGCTCTGGCACGCATCGTCCTGGCACTCAACTGCAGTGCCCCAGCCCTGGGCTTGTCCCGAGCCTGACATTTGTCAGTATACAAGTGGAGCTTCAATGCAAAAGAGTGGAAAACGTACTGGTTGAAAGAGTCGAGACGACCTCGCCGTTGATTGAGACGGTCTGGTCGTACTTGCCCGTGCTGTCGTTGTACTTGTCTTTACGTAGACGGAGGTTAGTGTCTATCTTCGACGGCAGGAGCGTGCATAGCTGATAGTATACTTACAGTGCATGGTCACCTTGTCGCCAGCAGAAGCCGGGACTTCCTTGCCACCCAATTGCGTGCCTATCACGAAGTTAGCTTGACCAGTACTGTTATGATAAAGCTGTATCATAACTCACCCTCAAGAGTACTAGCCCAGGTACACCACTGTCCAGAGCTGGCGCCACAGTTTCTGTAACAACCATCAGCAATCGTTCCGATAAGTCATGCTTTTGCTCGGCCAATTACTTACGAGTTAGGGTCGGAGAAAGAAACAGCGAGAGCCTGGATCAGATCACCACCGCTTGTACCCATACCGGGCCAGAGAGCAAGACGGTCCTTCTGAGGGCTAGGAGCCTCGGGCAGAACCAGCGTGGTGTTGGCCTCTCTAATCCACGACTGGGTAGGGCCCAGAGAGAAATAAGGACCAAATCCGACCGTGCTCTGGCCGTGAGCGGCACCGATGGCGGCCAGGAAGGCAAGAGCTTCAATTCCACGCATTCTGATGAGACGGGTAATCCGTGAGAGCGTATGACAATGGACTTTGACAGACCAGATAGGAGCCGTTTAACTCATTTTCCAGACTGGATCTACGCTGGCTTTATAGGGAGCGGATTGGACGGCAAGGAAACATGGCCGTGTTGTTTCAACAAAGGGGATGACTCCACTCCACGTTCAGAAGTGCCAAATAAGAATGGTTAATTGTTCCGGGATCGCATGATGGTCTCGATCACTACTCTACAGACACTTTCGCGACAATTTCGGAGGAACTTCCGTTTCACGCCCTGTTCGGAGTCACCCCGTAGAGTAGTTTGCAGACCCTGAGGGTTCTAGCGTGGCCCTAGTGTCAATCCTCGACGCTCGGAGGCCCACCAACGTTTCATGGCGGTCCCGAAATTGTCGATCTCTTCCCGGAGGGGGAGAGGGCAATATATCATGGTATATCATGGTATAGGGCAGTGAGCTGTTATTGCACGAATCGTAGGTAAATTAAGAATCGGCATTCACTATGTCTCTGAATCATTCCTCCTTTTAGCTTAGATTGAAGGTGTCTACGTGACGTTTGGGAAATAGATTGAGCGGCGATGCAGCGCTTACATTCTGTCTATCATCTCATTGCTAGACACTCTGGTCCCTCGTAACATCATTGCAAATGCTACAGATAAGATCAGATTAACAGAGATCGGTATGAGGGTGCCAAAGGAGAAGGATGGAGGAAAGCTGGAACAATTCAAGGCAAGTCCCGAACCGTTTCCCCACAAGTACATGCTCCCCTGAACAGACAATCTTCTAACGAACGTTTACATGATACAACAGTTTTTCCCGGGTGATGGTCTACATGAAAAGTGACAGTCTATTCGTTCATCTCATAAGTTTCAATCTGACTTAGCCTCAGGACAAGAAGGGTCCCCGCTACAGATATTACCCCACTATCAAGCTTAGGGGTACATGAATCTTACAACTGCAGGTAGTGGCCATGGTACTTCGGTTCCTCATAGGCAAGCGGACTGATAGGTTCATCGGACCGCTCCGGGAACCCGTCGAAGGATTTGGCGTAAGTCGCAATAGAGTGGGCAACGAGCTATTTTGAATCACACTAATCAGCAAAAGAATGATCCGCATAAGGGTAAATACTGTAGTGATCCTACCTTGGTGTTCCATTCCCACGCGGTCAGGTTCACATTGGCCACCGTGTCGCAGAGCTGGTGGTAGCACGGGTCATACCATTCGCCAGCAACGCCGCCAAACATCTCCGCTTCTTCGGCCGTCTTGATTCCCTCAGCTCCCGTGGCAATCCCACCACCGGGAATACCATGCCGGATGAAGGCATCATAGTCGCTGCGTCCATCGAAGGGAATGTACGTGTAATTGAACCCATGAGCATCGTAAAACTCAGTGTAGAGATCACGAAGCTCCTCGGATCCCTCGGGGTTCACAGCGTTAGTGGCATTGTACACCTGGTACGCAAAGTTGGGCGACCCGAGCATGTCGTAGTCCATGAACAAGCGGATCTTGCGGTTCTCTTCCGGGGTGAGAACGGACACATAGTAGTCAGATCCGAGAAGGCCCTCCTCCTCGGCGGCCCACCAAGCAAATCGCACACAGTTGTTGACACGGAATTGGGTGAGCAATGTGGCAAGTTCCAAAAGAGTCAGAGTACCAGAGCCATCATCATTGATACCCGGGCCCTCGGCCACACTGTCACTGTGGCCACCCAGCATTACACAGTTGTCAGGGTCACCATCCGTGGTCTGCGCGATGATGTTGGTGGTGTGGATGGTCTCGACGATCGCATCCATGTAGGCGATAGCGTCGACCTTCTCGCCTTTCTTCAGCTTCTCCAGGACCGGGGCAGCATCCGCGTCGGAGATACCAAAGGTAGCAACATGATCGGGTGTTGGGTTTCCTAGAGTTCCGCTCAGGTCACCCCGCTCGTTGTTGTAGATGACAGCAGCGACGGCTCCCGCTTTACCAGCCAATTGAGACTTTGTCCCAAACGGACAGCTTCCCCGACTGATAAATGCAACGGCGCCTTCCAAGTTGGAAGGGTAGTCCGAGGCCTCACACCCGAGGTTAGATACAGCAACCAGGGGGCCATATACCGGCTCCTTATTCTTCGTTGGGGGGGTGAGACCCATTGGTGTAGCCGACTTGGGAACATCGTGACCAAGGACAAGGCGAGACTCGAAGACATTACCGCTCACGGCAGGGAAGGACTGATTGACGACCGTATAATAATCACCGAGGTCGGTAAGGGCGGAGTATATGTAGTCGAGCGTGCCAAGATGACCTAAGTAAGCGGACTTGTCAACCAATTGTCTCTATTGTAGGAATATTAGGAGAGGTGTTTAGGACCTTTGCTGCCAATGACGCGAGTGGGATGGTTATACTCGTCTTCTCCCAGCTCCGCGATCTTGTATAGCTGCCGGGCTCTGTCCAACAGGTTCTCCGCCTTGACCTGCTCCTGAAGCAGCGGAGAGCTAATTAGTGGTTTGTCACCTGCGTTTGTCGTCGGCCGCTGTGAATTGGACTCTTGGACTAAGGGTAACTGTAGAGCACCGACCTGGCCCAGAAGCACTGGGACCAGATGTAGCGCCGCGGAGTCGATACGCATGGAGGGCGAAAAGAGACACTATTTGAATGATAATATATATAAGGAATGATACAAGACAGAGAACTCGTAAGATAAGAAAATAGAGCCCGTCGAATGGAAGCTCGGGAGGAGGCGAGACAGGGAGGAGATCAAACAACAACAGCTTGTGGAGGAGGAATAAATACGGGGAGCTGGGAAGAAGGGGAGCTTCCTGCCAGGAACCGGTCAGATGATAAGCGATAAGATAGACCCGTGACACCCACCTGACCTGCCTCATCGGGAAAGGTGTCATCATGATCGGCCCGATTGGGATTAGTGCAGCCTCACTTTCCATCTTCTCGGCAACACTTGGAGTCACCACCATTCCGACACAAATGCCATCATGCTTCTTCATGATGAACTGATTTTCTTTCTTCGTACCACTGGCAATCGGTTGGCAAATCTCGTGATGAGTCAATCGGAGTCGTTCCGTGGAATCCAACGGCAAGCACAGGGCGCCATTCCTTTCCCAACCCGAGCGGGTCCTTTGATCAGCGTCACTGGGGAGCTTTGGTTCCCCATGGCACTCATCAAGACCCTGAATGTCTGTTCTGACAATGTAGCTCAACGGATACAATCTTACGGTTCGCTATCGCCCTCGGTCTTGGTAAACAATGAGCTTCTAGATCGGATTAGAGGCCAGACCCGTCCGCATGCCCCAGTCGATACTTCAGGTGACAATTTAGCCTGGTGATTCTCATTCCGAAACCGTCAAGCCATTGCTAGAGACGATGTCCGCGCAAGAATCTGATATATGTTTCGCAAGTGATAGTTTCTGTGATACACAACTAGGCGGGCCCTTCCCAGTGCAACAAGCACTCCCATAGCTAGAGGGAAAACAGAATCGCTGTGCAACGTCTGACTAGAGCCACGGCTATCAGTCGCCTGTATCCGGATATTAGTATTCGGTACAGTTATCGGGAAGTTGAACGGCGCCAGTTCCATGGAATCTCCCAACGGACAATTACAACCTATTTTCTTGCGCCGAGTTACGTCACTACGGCCTCATTTAGAATCTGACAAAGGTTGGTCAAAGTAGTAGCAGCCCCGTTCTAGAGCTTATCCCCTTGCCTTTTCTTTCGGACAGGCTTTTTGCTGTCAATTGGAACTAAATCTCGCGATCACCCGCATGTAACTACTGCTACACGGTCAAACGGATCATGATGTCATTCAGGTCAGCATAGGCTGAGATTTGAATTTGTTCTTTCTTCAAAGCAATCTTACCAAAACTCTCTTCTTGCTTTACAGGGCATTGGCTCTGGATTGCTCTGCGAAATGCCAAATCATGAAGCCCATGACACTCCAGTACCAACATCGCCAGTCTGCATCGCAATATGGAACTTTTCCTCCCAATGGTTTCTGATACCACAAGGTACTGGTGTAATAGCCATTATTCTTCATCAACTGGACTATCAATTCCATGGTCTGCGTATCATCTCTGTGATAGTTTGGGTGTATACAATTGTGCTCCTGGCACTATGCGTATCCGTCTACCTTGCGCGAATCTTCATGTATCCAAGGCACGTCGCACGAGCACTCCGGGCAAGCATGGTGGAGGTATCATGTCTCACTAGTGTCTCTATAACGTTCACAACTATCATTCAAATGATCGCCTTGGCCGTTGCCCAGCAATGGGGTGCAGGATGGCCAATGGCCTCATACGTCCTGTGGTGGATCAACACGGCTATGGCTCTAACTGCTGTTATGGGAATACCGTACATCTTCGTGAAGCTACAAGCTCCCGGAATCAAGGCTGTCGTACCTTCCGTTCTACTTCCATTGATATGTGCGCTAACCTCCGCCGCTGGCGGAGGTGTCGTATGTGAGTATAGTGGAATTGGCGCTCGGCTGCAAGTCCCGACCATCATTGTAGCATACCTTGAAGTCGGTGTCGGTATTCCGTTGGCAATGTCCTTTGCGGATGTCTTCATTGCTCGTCTCTTCGAGCGCGAATTCATGCCCATGGAACAGGTCTATCAAGATATGATTCTCTGTGGCCCGTTTGGACAGGGCAGTTTTGCCCTGCTGATTCTCGGGCAGGTTGTACGATCTGGGGCATTTGCAGAATACAATCGGGGGTCATTCTTGACCGGTGAAGCAGCGATCCCAATTGGCTATGCCAGCCAATTGGCTGGTCTGCTGTCTTGGGGCTACGGAACCTTCTGGTGGGGCTACGCCATCATAAGCATTCTGCATACGGCTATCAAACAACCAGGGGGTTGGCGGAGGATACAATATTCACTTTCAGCTTGGTCTCTGGTATTTCCGTGGGTGAGTGTACATTTACCTTTGAGATTCATCATTATCTTACAACATGTTGCAGGGTGTCTACACCAATGCCGCCGTCCAGCTTGGCAAAGTCATGGACTCGCCTGCATTCAAGGTGTGGTCGACCGCTTTGACCCTCATGCTCCTCATCTTATGGATTGTAAATCATATATTTACCATTAAGGGTTTAATTACGGGGCAAATCTTGTCACTTCAGCACGGATGGCGGGCCGGCCACTATCAAGCCGGAGAAGTCGATAAGCAGGTCTAACGCTAGCCAGCTACTACGGCTACACGTGTGGAAACTCTCGACGGTATGATACGATGTTATATAAGTTATTCAGCATGAAGGGGATTTCATGTTCATTGTAAGCATTATCATTAACCGAGATACCTCAAGATAGATCACCAATCTGCCCATACAGCCTCAATTTACGCTGAATTCATTCAAACTTATCATTTGCAGCCTCAAATGCATCAGCCTCATCCTGACCCGAGACGCCTCTACTCATTCTCGCACCATCCGTGAAGGCCCACTGGTCAGTGACTGGCTGACCGTACTCATCGACGGTGGTCTCGAAGAATTCCTCCGGGCCCCAGTTGGAGGTTGGATCGGCTGCCAGAGATGCCGCAGTGGCTGACTCCGATGAGTATTGCTGCCTCTGATTGGCTCTTTGATCCTGGGTGGTGTTGCGAAGACGACGGCTCTGGTCTTCGTTCTGGGGGTATCGGAATGCGGTATCTGTTTTGGTGTGCGGCATTTTGATGGTTGTTGCTGTAGATGTTAGATATGCATAGATTGAGGAAGTGTTGAGACTCACCTTCACTTCGACACTTCGAAAATTCTATGTATATTGCGACAAATAACTCAGGTCATCATTTCATGATTGTATATTTCATCACAATCACAGCGACCAACCTCCCCATCTAAATACTGTCCCCTTACCACTAACTGCCCGTAAATGACGTTCAAGTTCCCAAGAAGGCCAACAACCTCATGACGCATCTCTCATCGCCACCATCACCATTCCCTCAAAGCCAATATCATGAAACCTTCTCCTGCCCCTGGTTATCCAGAACTGTGTCTTCGAGATATGGATAAAGTGGGTCACAAACTGCCCGCGGTATGGCTGTCTCGACTTGAGTAAGCTCAAGCTTCGCTACAATAGCATTATCCCGCAGATTTTGGGTTCGAAATAAAGTCGACTTCTCATCATAACCACTATACTGCGTAAAGAAGGTGATATCACTGTGGATTATAGAACATTCTATGTGATGTTGGAGAATGTCATAGATCAATCATGATTAGTTATCTCAGCGATGAGGTATGCACATTTTTGCCTGAGGCTAAAGTAATTTCTGCCACCGCCTTTTTATACAGATTCCCAGCTCCTTTTTCTGGGACTGTACGTTTCCAAAATCCGCAAAATCTGAGGGTTTTCGCTCGAGGTTCGTTAGGTTCTGCCAAACAAAGCGGTGTATGCGGCGGTATAGAATTTCTGCCGCTCACGGCCGGCTCCTGGCCAAATACTGCCACCGCTTTTTTTATACAGATTCCCAGCTCCTTTTTCTGGAACTGTACGTTTCCAAAATCCGCAAAATCCGAGGTTTTTCGCTCGAGGTTCGCTAGGTTCTGCCGCTTATGGCGGTCAGGGAAGCGGAGTGCTCACCGCCCGAGGTAGTACTGATTCTGCCTTCGATTACGGGCGTACTGGCGCCGCTCCTCGTCGAGTTTTGGGGATTGTCTTGAGTATGTGGGTGCTTATATTCTTTGTGTTCTAGATGAAGTCGACTGGTCTGTGACGAAGTTAAAGGTCTAGATATTGTTTGTAAAGGCGAGATCAATTTTGGTGTGATATGACTTGCACTAAGACCATTATGCCAGTCCTACCCGGCTGTGTTACTTCTACTGCATGATTGACTATGAGAAATATCTGTTTCTGTTTAATGCTTTTTGAGGTGAGGGTCGCGAATTTATCTTGGTTGACTGTTGAGAAAGTACACTGGTATCTTCTTACGCTGAACCGAAGACGTTGCCACAAAAGTCTGAGGGTTCATTAACCATATTGTATATTCGAGAAGGACGAGGTACCAGTCCGGAAGCTAAGATATACAAGATATTAAATCATACAATCTCATTAGAAAGACATGGAAAATCCTGGGATGCATAAATCAACAGAAAAGCCAAAAGAAGTCATAGCAGGCCGTTGAATCATACCATCATATCATATCATATTACCAGGCAGACACATGCTCAAGTACCATCTCACTTGCTGCCAAATCCTGGGATCGCGCTCCCCCAACTTTTGGCTCCGCTAGCAACAGAGGACCCAGCCGACTGTATTCCAGTGGCCAGTCCCTGGCCAGCCTTCTTGGAGTTATCGACAATGGGATCGGTTGCTCCTCCAAGAGGGCCTCCATAAGAGCCATTTTCATCTTTTCCTCCACGCTCGGCGCGATTGAACCCCTCCTTTGAAACCATGTTACCAACTGGAGCCAGCAGACCGTTTTCGCCCAACTGGTTTCCAACGAGATTATTTACGTCGTCTTGGATCTGATCGACTTGCTTAACGCCGGTGACCTTGGTCTTGGAGAGGTTGTCTGATCGCAATAGTTAGCATACGCATGAAGGGCAGATAATAGCAATGATTCTAGCGCACCCTTGGTCACGTAGGAAGCCTTGTTATCACCTTTGCCGAACCACTTAAGATATTGATCCTCCAGCCAAGGCATCCACTTCTCGTATTGCTCGTTGTAGGCTTCTTTCACCCACTCCGTGAATGACTGCTTATCGCGTTGATCGGCGGGAAGGTTGTCATACAGCTTGCGCTGTTCTTCTTCGGTGTGGTTGG